AACGAGGCAGCGAAAGCAGCTTTGATCCGTGCTTGTGCATCTACGCCAGTCGCAGAATTGGTGACCGAGAGTGTGCGATCGCTTGAAGAATCGCTGCAACTCACGTGCTGGTACTCTCGAGTGCCTTCCTTGAGTAACTCTGCCGATGCACCAAGTCGGCGGCATTGATCCTTCAATCATTGTGGAAGCTTCGTCCTTGCAGTGGGATGTGTTGTCCAGTGTTGGTCGAGTGGGGTGACTTGCAGCCACTGGACCTTTCCCCACTTGCGAATAAAAAGCGAGGGCGCGCTTCCGTCTTGCATTTTTTATATATATTGAGATCGTGATTTATATGCTACTCGATATTTGCAAGATGAGTACACCTTTTTGTGACTAAATTATATGGATTCATTTGTGAATGAATCTTTTGCTTGTCACATTGTGCGAGCGGTTCCTTACGATGAACAAGTACACACTCACCGCACTGACACTCGAAAGAGGGGATGTTACTTTATTCAATCTTTTTGAAGAAAATTTTCCTTGGAAAATTAGCTAGCTGATTTTCACACATGCTGTGTGGTGATTGAAATTCTCATCTTCAGCCTTTTTCCCTGTCGAGGTGATTGGCGAGAATTTCTTTTTCCCACCCGGCCCACCCTATGGTCTGGGGTGACTTGCAGCCACTGGACCTTTCCCCTGGGGTGACTTGCAGCCACTGGACCTTGCAAATTATATATATATATATATATATATTGAGATCGTGATTTATATGCTACTCGATATTTGCAAGATGAGTACACCTTTTTGTGACTAAATTATATGGATTCATTTGTGAATGAATCTTTTGCTTGTCACATTGTGCGAGCGGTTCCTTACGATGAAAAAGAAAGGTGACTTGGATTTGCCCGACTCAGAGTTTTTTCCCGTTTATATTTTCAGCCTTCCTGCAAAGTTATTCAGCGCGTCTCTATTCATTTGGATTGACGTGTTCGAATGCCTGCAAGCGCAAACGGCGTGCGCTTGTCCGGCCGGATGTGCCTTGTCTGCCACTGATCTTGCGTGTGGCAACCGGTAGCAGACCGGTAGCAAAGCAGAGTTAGAGGGGAGTTGGAGCCAGCACGTGGACGTGGGCTCGATGACTGCTCGTCAGGTGGAGGTGAGCCGCTAAGCTCCACTTTAACAGCTCTCTTTCGATAACGGTACACGACGTGTTCACGTGTGCTGGCTCGACTGGTGTCTCATTAAAGCACTCTGCGTCGCACTCCTGGGGCATTCTGTCTGCTCTGAACACTGTTTTTTTGGGTGGCAATGGTGTCCAAGTGGAAGAAGAGGGCAGCCATCAGTATGACAGCTTCCTCTTGTACACTCTATTGCCTCCAATCCAAGTTAGCATGTTCGCACTGACAGCTTTGATGGTGGTGTGACAGAGCGGCGTGCCAGCATCTTGCCCTTCCTCCAAATTCAATTGGCAGAATTGCACTCCATCATAAGCATTTTGGCAGACTGGCAACCGTACCTCTGGTCTTTGGGCTGCGATGGCCCATTCGAATGGCCGTTACACTTCCCGTTGTGGTTCTTTCTTGATCTTCCAAGCTCAAGAACCGCCAATCAAAGAGAGCCACGACCATGAAAGCAAGACTCGGACTTGTTAGCTGAAAGCACTTGAGCTGCACCTGCTCATGAGCTGGCGACGGGAAGGATAGGAGTTCTGGACATGGGCGGCGTCAGCTCAGGCCTGCCCGAAGTCTTCATAACGCCACAACTGTTGCCGGACAAGATCGGGTTTGTCTATTCCCTATGCGAAGATTCATTCAATGACTTTGACCACGTCTTTCAGCGCAAGCTGGAAGAGGCCGCGTCATGGGCTCCTGCCATTTCAGGTGCCCGCGCCAGATCGAGCCCTGAAGTCAGAAATCGCCAGTCCACGACGGCAGCTTCATCCAAATGTCACTAGCACCAATGTGAGCGTTGCTTTTGGCAAGGAGCCTCCACTGTGGAACACTGATGTCAGCGCAGCTCATACTTTGCTTGGTGCGCGCTCTTGTTGACTTGCCGTGCGCTATGCTTTCCTCACCGTTCGCAAGATTGACTGTGACCCTGTGTTTGCTTACAGCGTTGGCTACTGCTTCTCGGCTCAACCAGGGCCAAAGTGGTTGTGGTCACTGTGACCCATTTTGCAAACACAGCATCCAAGTGTGTTTTTAGCGCAGTTATCCTTTCAGACTCCACCTGCCGCATGCCTTTCAAAGCTCTCTTTGCTTTCCTTTGAAACGTCTTTTGCACGCACTGTACCGAAAGATTGTCCCGAGTATCCGGATCGAGCACGAGCTCCGACTTGAGTACGAGTCGCGCTGATCGCATGGAGGCGGAGGAGTTGCGTGGAACTGCGGCGAGTCGCAGTGAGGATTCGCCTTTTCAGTGAGCCGTAAGATGTTTGTAGTGTTTCTGGAAGAGCTTCTTTTTGCAGGATGACCCCTTTGGGTCATTTCAGTGGACACAGCAACAGGAATAATTAGCAAGAAAAGATATTCAAGAAGAGTTGCCCAAGTCTGCCAACAAGAAAGGTCCTGGTAGTGTTTTTGCGGCAGTTACCTGACGGATTAAGTCTCATGTCGCTGTTTGTTTAGACTCTGAAGCTCTGCCAATTCTGCTGTACCATCCGAAAGTGCCATCTTGAAAGCTCTGAAGACGCAAGTTTAGGAGATGTAGGAAGCAGGCTGCTTTATCAGTTGCGGGAGGAGGCTGCGACAGAGCGTGGGTGCACTTGGGGAAGGCGAAAAGGTGTTTCCGTCGCTTGCGTGGGTGCGACCATGCAACGCAAGCGTTTCTGCACTGTTTCTGAAAAGTTTGTGAAAAGTGTGTGAAACTGTGAAAATAAAACATCGTCCTAGATCTTTGAACTACGGCGCTGTCTCCGACATGAAAAGTGCGCCCAAAAGCGCGTGGATGTGCTTGCTGTTGCACAGAGCTCATTATAGGGCCCACGACGGGGCTCCGAAGGCTCGGGATCGTTCGGCTCGTGGAGCCGACTCGAGCTTGAATTGATGACATAACAAATCCGGTGTGTGAACCGAAAGATTTGTTTGCCACGGATGTCGCAATCTTGTTTTGAAGCATTGCACTACGCAGTTGTTTTCCAAGCGAGTTCTTCAGCTTGGCAATGCATCTTGGATCCACGCCTTGTGTGTGTGTGTGTTTCTTCTACTGAGGTCGTCACCTTGACGTGTCGGGAATGAGATGTGCGAAAAAGCAGCATGTTCAACAAATGAAAGTCAAAGCGCCGATGCTTGAGATTCGGTCAATGTCGAGGGTAGCGACGAGCGAAATGGGCACTTTCTTCAAGAGACACGACAGAGAAGTCGTTCGACGTTGCCTTAAGAGCCTTGTGCATCATCCCAGCATGCGTGGCAACGGGCTCGCGTTTGCGACTTGATTCGTGTGATGGGAGGACGGTGGTTTCAGACCTGGCCAGAGAGCATGCAACTTTTTGACAGCGTGACGCCGAGGGCTTTTTGAGGGGGCACGACTGACACGGCGGTGCTTCTCAAGACTGTCGGGTTCAGATACGAACGACCACGATGCAGATTTGATGTGAAAGCGCATGTTCCGTGCGAACACTCGAAGATGTTTTTTATGACCGCAGACCACCTTTGCTTCCAACACAGTGCCATAGTTGCAGCCTGTGCCACGCATTTAATGCCAGTCGGCTCCTTACATCCGGTAAACAAACATGTCGACATGCGTTTGTGTGTGTGGGTGTGTGTTGCGCACCTTTGTCTCTCCCTCGCCCTCTATCTCTTTCTCCCTCTCCCTCTCCTCTCCCTCTCCCTCTCCCTCTCCCTCTCCCTCTCCCTCTCCCTCTCCCTCTCCCTCTCCCTCTCCCTCTCCCTCTCCCTCTCCCTCTCCCCCTCCCCCTCCCTCCCTCTCTCCCTCGCTCGCTCTCCCTCTCTCTCTCTCTCTCTCTCTCTCTCTCCCTCCCTCAGTTTTCTGCAGCAATGACTGTGCGGAAGGTCACGTATTGACAACATGGCCACGGCCGGGTTGATGTCTGAGATGCGCAATTGTTGGATCTCTCGGGGTTTGCTTTTACTGTTCTGTAAGGCTGGGAGTGCCATACAAGTGGGATCACCTGGAAAACGTGGGTGATGTGCAATCCTCAGCCCAAAGAGCCTTTTCGCTCTTTTTGACGTGACAGCAAAGTTTCCAGGTTTACACACCCAGAACAGGCCATGCTGTTGTGAACGAGGTGCCAGGGTAGGATGCCGTCCAAGCAATTGAACACGGCGTGCTTTCGGCATGTTTTGCATCGGTCAGGATGGTGTGTTCTACTTGTTCGGTGGCACAGATGGAGCTGCACGGCAAAGTGACGTCCACGCGTGCCCAGCTGGGGCAATAAAACTTCTTGCTTGTCCCTGTTCTTAGTGCCATTTTCGCTGCGGACGTGCAGGCTGCAAGCGTATCTTCAGGAAAGAGTCAACCTGCATCACCGTCCATTTTAACTGATGCCAGATTGACTTTTTTCATTCCTGCAAGTTACCGACGTTACGTTGTAAGCTGCCATGGACAGGTAGTGATGAGGGAAGATTAAGATGTTCAGGGAGTGTTTCGACTCGCGAGGTACAACGTGGAGACCAATCTTTGGCAGGAGATCCGGGCCGGAGGTCGTCCGCCACCAGCACGCAGCGGCGCACAGGCTCTGGGGCTGGGCGGCTGGGCTGCGAGCGAAGATTTTTCATCGAACTTCCTCCGCCAGGCTGTGGTCTGGTCTGGGGCTGTGTGGTTCTTTGGTGGCTACACCAAGAAGGACTTTAGCTGCTTCAGGGCTTCAGCTGGTATTTATCCAATTTAGTCATGGTTCATTTTTCCATCCGGGATGCGTGGATCCCGGCCTCACACTGCAGCTATTCAGTTGACCACCGTGAAATGCAGCCTCACATCATGCAAGGCCACACAGTCCTTAGATCCATAGCTGCCACCGCGGCCACAGCCAACTTCCGTCATGGCGTACGTGAGATGCACGGATGACGAGGCCAGCACATGAACCGAATGAGCCAGTTGCTGTCCAGTGCTCTGCATGTATCGAGGCCTTGGGCTGCCGCCGTAAAGAGATCAGAATGGCAGCAGAAGTGGGCCAATTGCTCAGCACGGGTTACTAGTCAACGTCGTGATCCGCTGCGAAGTTTCACAGTTTTGGAGGACCGGTCTCTGTGGGCGCTGCAAGCACTGGCGCTGCAAGACAAACTCACTCAAGCAGATTGCACTGCCGGCGTGAAGGCAGCCGTCAAAGAATGTTGCACAAAGGACAAAGTCCCGAGCTATTCTTGGCCTTCCCATGGATGTTTGCTTTTATCTCTGCAGACACTCTCAAGCTGAACACTTTAAATGGTTGCATGCTCAGACTTTGCGAATCAGCTCGATGACTTGCTCCAGTTCTCGCTGCATCGTGTTGTTGTTGGTGGTGGTCCTCGTCGTTGTTGTGGTTGGCTGTTGTGGTTGGCTCTTGGTTGTTAGTCGTTGTTGGTTGCTGGTTGGTGGTTCGTGGGTGGTGGTTGATTTGGTGGCTGCCCGTCGGTCGTCAGTGGCAGTTTGTTTTCAGCAGCTTGCTGGCTGGTTCATTTTATTTTCAGCATTATTATTGCTATTATTGCGATTATTACATTTTTTGTTGGTGCTTTCGTTGGCATCGTCACCCTTGACGATGACGACGAGGAGGAGGACGAGGAGGATGAGGAGGAAGAGGGTGAGGATGTTGAGTCGTGAGGACGATTGCTCCGGACACCGCCGTGTTTCGGCACTTTCGCCTTATCGTGCGCCATCGACACTAGCACCACGTGCAGAACATGTTGCTGCTTTGGTTCGTATGCCAGGCATGCGGAAAGGCCTTGCGTTGGGAGTGGGCATTGCAGCTGCTTTCATGGTCACGCAAGTTTTCCAGCTCGCGCCCAAGCGTTCAGAATTCATGCTGTCAGCCGGACTGCTTCAGTTCTTCTGAGTCCGGCATCCTTGGAATTCTGCCATCTCGGCATGTGTCCGGACCTCAGATGTCAGATGTTTTACTCTGGAACCCTCGTGTCATGATGCCAGAGGCCTTGGTGACGGAATGGGAGCGTGCTTTGTTTGGGCCTTTCATGGCGTCTCACGCCAATCATCCATCTCGGAGACTCTGTTGGACGTGCTTTAGGCTTCTTCTTCGCAGCATGCGCCATCGCGGGCCGAAGCCATCTGCAAGCAGCTACTCCGCAGCAACCTGCCTTAATCTGAGAAGCTTTGCTCGGTCCCTGTAAGGGCTTGAAGCGCCGATATCTTCGATGCTGTGATCTCAGGCCCTCGATGCCTTGGCTCGTGGGGCTGAGCCGACCCTAGTAGCCCAGAAGTTTCTATCCTCCTCCAATTGCATGCTTTGCATCTGCCTTGCTTGTCAGGAATGGGCAAGTGGCCTCCGCCTCCTGTCGGAGATGAAGCGCCGCATTGCACCGGACCTCGTCGCAGTCACCTCCGTCATCGTGGCCTGTGGGGCGGCCGCGCGTTGGCAAGTCTCTCAGAGAATGAGAAGCTTACCGGCTGTGTCGGGTACATTTTGCGAAGTGTAAGGACTGTAGCGCTCCAGCTCTTTGAGAGAGCGAGCGTCGAGTTCCATGGAGGCGAGGTGACTGGCGTCAAGAGAACGCGGCAGGGACCAGCTTGCAGGTGACGTGGTGTTGCTTGGGGCCACTGCCGCGGCTTGTGGTCGTGGCCATCAGTGGCAGGCCGCAGTGACTGCGAACCGTTCCAGCGAATATCAGCGAACAAAGCCTGCAGCGGCAGAGTGCGAGGCCTCTCTGACATTGCTAAAGTGTGGTCTGGTGCCAAGCGCACCGTCTGAGTCGAGGCTTGTGTTCGGCATAGCTGCACTGAGGCTCTGCCGCTAGACTGCTGAATGCAACGCTGTTTGGAGCTTGTTTAGCGGCCTGCGCGAATTCATCAGTGTGGGTGCAGGTCGGATTGCTCGGTGCCGCAAGTGATGCGCTCTGTCAGCCACTTCTTGCGTGAGGCGGCTGCCCTGCTGCAGGGGATGAGCAGGCCCGGCAGGCCCTTCAAGGTCCGAGCGATGACCAGCTCGCGCAGGGCAGCCATTGCACCTGGAGAAGCAGGACTAACAGCTGCAGCAGCAAGCTCATATGTCTTGTGTAGCCATGCCTGCTGCTTTTAAGCTGCACGTCCAGGCTAGCGCATTTTCATCTGCGGAGCTTTGGCAGCAGGTGTGAATCTCATTTGACAAGCATGGTCCAGCGCAGTAGGTCACCTTCAGTTCGAAGATGCGAGAAAGCTTTCCCAGACAGGCCCTCGATGTGCTTTCAAGAGCAGAGCCACAGACAGGTTGGGCAGTAGAGTCGCACGACCTCCCTCCTTTCACAAGTATCCGTACGTGTACAGGTGCTTGGTGGGGAGCAGCAATTGCTGCAGCTACTCGTGGTTTTCGGTGGGAGCAGGCATGCAGAAGAGTTCAGTGCTGCTCTGGCAGTATGCTTTAAAGTTGAACGCTCAGGCATTGGAACTTTATGCGAGGACTTCGCTTGCAAAGCGCTGCTGCGCTTTTGTTGATTTCAGCGTGTGCTCGCGGACGTCAGTGTTGTAAGCCTGGGAGGATGCCGGAGCGCAGTGTCTCTCCCAACGTGGGCAGTCCATGATTTTGTGCTTGCCATCAGAAAGGCATGAATCAACACTGAGCTTGAGAATAGTTGCTTCATGGTGGCAGGAGGCTTGCAGCAGCCCTTGTCCCGGGCAGTGCTGTATTGAACAGTCCATGGATTCCATCTTGTGCATCTGCTGTTCTCAGGTGCGGTCCAGACGGCATGTGTTCGAGCTTCTCGGCAAGATGTGGCTTGGGTCTGTTTGACGTTCTCGTGAGGCGGCTTGGGCCTAGGAGTTGTTGAAAGCAAAACCGCCGTGGATGGCCTACGTTCGCACAGCACCAATGCTTGGGGCCTTTTTGCTTCTGTCCTGCGCTGCTTGTACATCTTTTTTTTAGGATAACAACATGTAATGGCAAAGGAGAAGACAAGTTCATTCTTGGTTGTTCCGGCAGGTCAGCAGGGGACAGGCATCCAAGCAACAGAACATATCGCAATCCGAACTAGGGCCTTGCAATCTCGCCACCCTTCTAGCCCTGGCAGCCTTGAGGCTTCTCGATGGGAGGTGAGCCTGGTGCTGAGCTTCGGAGCCGGAGGTGAAGGCTCGACGGCTCTTGGCTTTCTTGGCTTGTGTGCTTCTCGATTTCCGTGCGGCGCCTTGTGGCGAGGTTTGGCTCAGGCGGCTCAGATCCCTCTTGGATGTCTTGGTCTAGCTCTCAGGCCCAGGCCTAGCATCGCCTCACTGCGGAGCCCTGCAGAGCCCTGCGGAGCCCGAGGTCCGGTACTGGCTGCATGTCAACATGGTGCCCTTTGGATCGAAGCGCGGAGCTCGGAGCCAACAGCACGGAAGCATTCCGCCGAGACAGTGACATACCGTTCCGTCTCCCAGGCCTTGCACTATCTACGCCAGGCAGAGCCGATATCGCTCGGGTCTCGTCTTTGTGTCGTATGTTCTGTGCCAGGCCCAGCTAGCCGGAATGAGTGGTGTCGTGATGCGGGCTTCGGCTATGGCAGCTTGCGCGGAGGACCTGCTTGAGAATTTCAGACTATGAAGGCCTTTCCTTGTTTGGCAACTTGTGCAGCGAGCATCGCAGGCCTCCAAATGGAGCTGGGCGCTTCGCCTGTCCGGGTCCCAACGTCCCGAGGGTCCCGGTCTGTCGGTCTGTGGCCATGGCTCCATCGGTTCCGGCCTTCAGAGGAAATTCACTCATGGGGCCTCGGCCTCTCTTACATCGCGTGTGCGCTCGGAGGCTGCCAGCTCTCACTTCCGGAGACGCTGAGCCCAACGCTGTTAGCTTCGGTGTGGCACTCCATGCCTGCCGTAGCTTGCCCATGTTAGCTCGGTGCGATTAGCGTGAAGTCCTCAATCCGGCACTTGGGCAATAGTTGCTAGTCTGCCGGAACTCGACGGGATAATTGCCAAAGTCCGATAGTACAGGCAGGTCATCTGTTCGCCACGCTTTCCAAGACCTCCCGACAAGACTGTGTAATTCAGGTTTGGGACGCCAGTGGGTGCGCACCCCAAGCTTGTTGAAGTCTATGTACATGCCCTCGGTGAAACGATTTAGTGCAAGGCTGCATCTTTGTGGATGCTTTGGGACGAGATGCCAAGTAAGAAGCCCAGTCTTCGAGCGAACGCCCAAGTTTGTGCCGAAGTGATGACTACTCTTCAGGATGTTCTGTTCGACCAGACTGGGTGGCCTTCTGTGCAGCACTGTTGGCATCAGACGCATGTTCGCAGCGGAAATTAGTGCAATCCAGCTTCCCTGAAAGAAGGAACTCCCTCTGTTTTGCCCAGGAGCGAAGCCACAAGGGCGTTGAGGTATTGCACCTGGTGCAGCAGCTTCGCAGGGGTGCTTGCCTGAGGTCGACATCGAAGTGGAAGTGTGAGTAGAAACCTGCCGGAAGGTGCAGTCGGCCGCGAGCCGCGATTTCAGAGTTCCAGGCAGGAGGCGCTGGGTGTCTTCTGCGCATGTCATGCCACCGTCTTTGCCAGGCTTGGGGAGCGACTCGCTGCAGCGTCTTTGCTCAGGACTAAGCAGACAGGGGTGACACTGGTTCAGAGATGATTAGACTGATGAGCATGATTTTGTAGTTTTGACAAAAGCGTTGGAGCATGCCATAATCATATAAAGCGTCAGCAGAAAGGAACTTTTACGAACCGGGACCAGGCGAAACAAGGAGGCAGCAGATACACTGAGACACATCCGGTCACATACCTTTCATTTGGCAAGGTTGGATCAGCACAGTTGGCTCAGCTCAAGCTGCAGTCGTCCGGCACTTGGCTTTTCTCTTCCTGGAGTCTGATGCCGACTTTGTTGTCAACTCACGACTTCCTCAGGTCAGATCTGGCGACTGTGTGATACTACGCTCAAACTGTCACTACATGCCGCAGACGGGAACAGTCGGTCCAGTACTGTGTTTCGCACAGCAGGCTCCCCTTGTGTGCCTGCGCTCTTCCAAGACCATGAGCATGTGATGTGGCTGCACCACGGAGAAGTCAGCCCTTTTCATGGATGGCAGAGTTGCGCTCTGTGCAGGCCTGGGTGGACCTCAGCTCACCCGGACCATGCTGCTGACTTGGAGCCAGCGGGCGATCAGCTTTGTCAGAAAAGCAAGAAGACTGCCGAAGTGCTTGTGGAATGACTCGGTCAAGTTGCCACGGCCTGTAAGAGTGGATGCAGAGGACGGGGACTACTTCAATGATGTCTACAAGTATGACATTGCAACTAGCATGTGGGGGTCTGTGCCCTCCGGGACAGCCTGCATGTCATGCATGTGTGGTCATGGAGTTTAAGTGCATGGCAGGTACACACTCTGGGAGAAGCCCCGACGAAGAGAACAGACCACAGTGTCGTTCTTTTTCGAGACTCGCTTCTGGTTTTCGGTGGGTTCGATGGACATAACAGGCAGGAGGATCCGGAAGCCGCTTTCCATGCAGCTGTTGCTTGTATGTTGAGTCCAGGTTCAATGACCTCAGGGAACTGCATCTGAAAGACAAGCGCTGGAGTCAAGTCAGTGTCAGGGACTCAATCGCAATCAGCATCGGTGGCTGACTAGTGTGGAATCCCGAGGTGCGAAGTCAACAACCACGCAATCGTTTCGGGCACACCGTCCGCCCTCGGTGTGCGAGTGCTTGAGCGTTGCATCCTGCTGCTCGACGGTGGAAGGACTACATGTGCCATGCTTCTCGCAAGGCCGTGATATACGCCCACTCCATGTACATCTTCGGGGGCTGGGACGGTCATGACACATTGCAGGAGGGCCGCCGGGATGTCCCATGAGTTGCACCATGCACATGCATACTTCAGGGCCCTAGAGGAAGCCTGTCTGCCGGTAGCATGCAAGCCGCATATCAGCTCTACAGCGAGAAGCTGGATACTTACTGTTCGGTTCATTCGACTCAGTATGGGATGTTGCTCTTGCCTGCGAGCTTATTTTGACGGAGCATTGAGTTTCTGTTCAGTAGGTACCCGGCGCTTGGACCTAGAAAATCCTGCTGGCTTAAGCCCCGACAGCAGGGCTTCAATCGTTTGTGGATGCCTAAAACCTGGACTCTAAGTTCTTACATTTTAGCAAACTGGTCTTTCAGTCTTGAGGATGACCGTAGCCAGTGATTTGCTTCGCATTCTCTGTTCTCGCTGCACCGGCCTGTAGCTTTGGTTAGATTTTCGTAGCTTCTTCCCAGTGTCCTTCAGCCTGTATTCGTTTTCCTCAGCGCTGTGCAGACAAAATGCATGGGATTACCATGTTTTCCCACAGGCCAATGAGACATCGGACAAACAAGAACCCAATGCTCTCCTATGATTCCGTTACAGGAGTTGTTCGAGTACAATATCTCCTCTAACATGTGGATCCAGCCACGGTCTCAGATTGCGTTTGTGAGGGAGCCTGCATGTAGCTTGATCTGCCGGCTCAGGTTGCCCCTGCGTGGCACAGCACCTCGCGTCCAAAGCTGAATGGCCGAGGCAATTCAGGCATGCCTTCTGTCTTCTCCTTGTTACAAGGCGCGGTATCGTCACACAGCGGTCGTGTGTGGTGATGCGGTGTCGGCCTGAGCTTTGCCCACTTCTAGGACGAGGTGGGGGCTATGCTGTTGCGCGTCCAAGATGTTCACGTTTGGTGGCGTCGACAAGACGCAGTACCGTTTTCCAGACTTGCACGAGTGCTCCAAGATGGCTTTTGGGCAGGTTCCATGTCACACGCAGTGCCTCACTTAAGCCAGGTACAACTTCACACATCGGCACTGGTTGAAGGCATTCTCCTTGGACAGCAGTTGCAAAGCTTCCACCGGAGTGCGTTGGCAGGTCGCTACGATGTCCGTGCAGCCATCGGCACGAACTTTCCACAAGACTGTGGTTCACGAGGCCTAATCTGCATGCATGGGTTCACCTTCAGCCTTCAGCGGCCCCAGACTCTCTCGACACAGGGCTACATGTACATCCTGGGTGGCTTTGACGGACGTCGATTGAATGACATGTGCCTCTGTCCGCATACAGCACTGTCGACTCTGCTGCGGGCTTTGGAAGCAATGCAAGATAATGCCAGCTTGTTTGACTGAGAGGTATCGTATTTTGCTTCGGACAAAATCCGAGCTGCAACGTTGTCAGAAACAACTCGCTGAGCAGGCAGGACAGGGTCAAGACAAAAGGCACGTGAGCAATGAGCAGATCTTGACAGGCAGCAAGCAGTCCACCTGTCCCGAGCAGTTCCGTACGTCCAGAAGGCTCCCTTGTTCTTGTCCAATCACTTGGCCAGAGACTCGTGGCCGGGCTTTGCCAGATGTTCCTGGAAGCACTGGGGCCGTTGGTGATGCTCAGGAGCGCGCGTCTTGATTCGCTTTCCTAATTACAACGGGGTTCGCCATCAGGATGCCGCTCAGACTTTGATGCCAGAGGATCTGTGGTGTGGCGGCCTCTGCATTTTTGAAGAATTTTAGTCTCTGCGGGGCAGAGCTCTTCAGAGACTTTGGCAGAGGCTGGACCCGAATCGACGACCAGCTTGGCCAGGCGCGGGCAGATAGAGCGTCCCAGGAGGGAGTTGGGGAAGCTTTCGGGTTTCTGTGTTTTGGAGGTGTACACACCGCGAACCGGTCACGCGGTGGTCGTGTGGAACCACTGCTTCTACCTGATGGGAGGCACTGACTGACCGATTCTGTTTCTGGGTTGAACATCTTCGTGACTCTGGCCGTCGGCTCACAGCAGTCATGATGCTGCAAGTGCGCTGGACGACATGTTAGGATGAGTCGCAGCAATAGCGCGATCCACATCAGAGCATACCCGCAGAGAGAAACGCCATGGTCTTGGACATGCGGGCATGAGGTTGATGTGTTCGAGCAGGCGGGACCAGGACTCAGCTGCAAAGAGATCCGCAACGAAATTGATCAAAGGATAGCCTCCCAGCTTTGGCGACATCGCTCTGTTCCGGAAAGGGTGCCTGCCTCAATGTGAGTCGCTCGAGGCAGTTCTGTGCTTGCACGATTGCGTTCCGGTTCCGACGTCGCAAGGCCTTCTCCTCCATTCCGTTTGAACCCGAGCGATTCACATCTCAAGTACAGTACGAGCTGCCATTCGCACTCTGACGGTTTGTTGGTTGGTGATGTCTGTTCGTGAGATCTGCTTTGGAATGACTTGCCGGCACCAGAATCAGAATCATGACGAGCCACTTCTGTGTCGACTGGGGACCCTTGTCTACAGGGCCGAAACCCGCAGGAAAAGCCCTAAATGGAGCGGGTGCAGGGGCCTGTGAGTCGATCGGATTGTCCCAGCATCGTTGCTGATGAAGCCCAGCCTGGCTATGAGAAGCTGTGAAAGCATGCAAGCAAGGCCCGGCTTGCTGCGCTTGGGATTGGCGCCATCCCTTCTCGATGAAGCTCATTCTGTCGCTTTCGAGGCCCTTGAGAGTGCTTCGTTGTTGGTGTCTCGTCAGTCCGTCGCTCGTCCCGTCGATTTGCGGCAGGCTGGTCCGTCGCAAGCGCTTGCTCACCTGACCCGCCGACAGGCCAGCGCCAAGTGCGGAAGCACCCGCCTTGCCGTTTCGCCTCTGAGGCACTTGAGCCGGATCCAATGCAGCAACGGGTGGCGAAGCAGCTGGATGTTGTTCGGTCCTCGGTTTGTGGGACTCGGAGGCGCTTCGCTTGACACATTGCGTTCCAGGGCCAGGGCTCGGTGACATGTTTCACTTCGCTGCGCTGCGATGGATGAACTTCGAAAGGCTTTCTCCGGGGCTTGCCCCGTGAGCGCCGTGGCATGGTCCGATCCCGTGGTCGAAGTGGGTCCAAATCATGGTCCCTCCTTGCCGCAAGGCTTGCGATACATCCGTGACTTCGTCACTTGCTCGGAGGAAGCCGAGTTGGTGGCAGCCATGGATGAAGGCGAGTGGCTAACCCACTTGATACGAGCTCAGCAGTTCTTCGGATTGGTCTACTACCAAACGCGCCACGATATGGCCAGCCTGCAACCAGCAAGCACTGAGATGCAACAGGGCCGGGCTGTTACAGATCTTCCTTCTTGGTTGCTGCCACGTCTCGTCGACACTGGTGTGTTTCGTACAGGCGAGCTCAACCAAGTTGCAGCAAATAAGTACACCGGCACCACTGGCATCGCTGCTCATGTAGAAGATCCAATTTCCTTTGGGCCGAATCTGGCCACGCTGTCGTTGCTGCAGCCTGTTCAGATGACGCTTTCCGTGGCTTCCGAGGTGAAGAACTCTAAAGAGGCCCCTGGAGATGGTGTAGACCATGGCAACTGGGTGAAAGTCCTTCTGGAACCAAGAAGCCTCCTGGTGCTCCAGGGAGAGAGCAGGTATGCTTACCGCCACGGAATTCGGCGCTCAAGGCTAGTGCGTCTGCGAGACGGAACTGAGATGAAGCGAGGAAGCGACTACTGTCGGATTTCGCTGACCTTCCGGCAATTGCGTGAGACTCGCAGGATGGTTCATCTTGAGCCCGAAAACCGCGGAGCCACCGAAAGCAGAGAAGCCGAGTGCAAAAGCGAGAACGAATGCGATGAGAGCGAACGCAGGTAAGGGAAGTGAGACGCAAGGAATGCGCGAGCATGTGGCAGTTTAATCGAAATCTTGCTTGCCTTTGCGCTCATCAAGGTGTGGAGCTCAACCTGGGCGTACTCCGAGGTGTCTTCTGAGATCTGCACTGGTATTGCGGGGTGCTTGCTGTAGTCTAGTGGATAATACCGATGGGTAGGCATACGACCTTTGGAAGCAATCACACATCGAGTGGGAGGCCGGATGCTCGGGACTTTCTTGTATTTGGTGTGGACTTAGCAGTCTGTTTCCAAAGGCGGAGTGCGCTCGCAGAGTAGCTGCGCACGAGCAGCAACGGCGGCAGCTGGAGCAGGACAAGAGCCATGACCGAAAGGGAGAGAAGTCCGACTTCCCCCAGGTGGGTGTGCATCAGAACCCTTAGAAAGATAGAGCAGTCTATGTAAGCGATGTCCAGAGGGTGTGTTGCAGGCTTCTGGCAGTGAAGTCGTTCGAAGTGCTTGTACGAAAGGCTCCTGTGGTCCTTCCTGCAGAGCCCACAAAGTCCGGCTTTTAGCAAAGCAGGGCCGGCGCGTGTGACACTTATTCGATTTCTGTGAGCAAGGCCATCGTTACGAAGCAGAGGCTGCTACATTTGGGGCCAGGCCAGGCATGTTCACAGTGTTCACAAGGGTTGCTGTCTACATCTGTCTACATAGGATGGAGCTCTGTTGCGCAGGTTGGTCGCGGCAAGACTCTTCTCATGGACGTCTTCGTGGAGTGCTCGGCTGGTTGTGGTCCATCTTGCTCACGCAGAGGGCCGCTCTCGGAAAGGCATTGTCCTTCCAGCCCACGAAGAACTCGGCCGGGATTGGCACCTTGCCATCAAAGGTCGGGTGGGTGCTGTACCGGTAGAGACTTTGACTTTTCTGCAGCTAGGCTCAAGTAGCGAAGAATGTGCAAAATCGAACTAGGCGCAGCTCCGGCGAGTCCATTTTCACGAGATGGTTCCTCAGCTCGGGGTACAGCCCACTGCTACATGTTCCTCTCCCCCATGCTTGCTCCAGGTTCATCCATGAACTGCACCGCCAGCTCCATCGCTCGGGGGGCCAATCCGGGTTAGCCGCTGCGGTCGATGTCGTCAGGGCCCTGGTCAGGTGTGAACGAGTGCACGGCTGTTTGCCTGCCCTTTCAGGTCATGCGTGGTCAGCCGCCCGTGCTCTGTTTCGATGAGTCCCCAGCCCAGTACGAAAACTCGCAGCACATGCAGCGATTATCCGTACAAGTTGGGCACGAGTGGCGAGGTTTCAAATCACTACAATAGCAGATGCATCGACTGCGGCTCGGTTTCTCTGTCGGTAGACGCACGTCTGACGAAGTTCTCTAGCTGCCTGAACTGAAGTATTGCTCGGTGTTGTTTACTGCGGTCAGCGTCCAGTGTTCTCTGCTCTTGAAGCTGGTTCGGGGAGGCACCGAGGCAGAAGCACCACGAAAGCAATTCTGGCAGACGGAGACTAAGCAGTGTTAGACTGCCACGGATCTTCTGATGGCAATTTGAAAAAACGAGTCGCCGCGACGTTTCTTCTGCTCGAGATAGCCACGCTTTGGGAAGCACATGGAAGCACTATATCTCGTGTCGCAGTAACTTTGGCTATAAGCCCGAACCCATCCTACAGCCTTCAAGTAGGCTCCCAAGCCGCACCAATTCCTTACGAGCACTGTCAGCTCTTGTCTTTTCAAGCAGTACCGCAACTGCTGCATGCTGGCGCTATGCTTGAAGCTCTGAGATCGCACGAAACAACCACTGGGCCATGCAAACACGCGCATTTCGACTCGGAGAATGGGGGGGAGACCAGAAATGCGAAACCGCCCGCCCCTGCACAGGTGCAGAATTTGGACTCGGATCTTCGGGAACGGTTATCCGCCCGCTCCAGCACGCGAACGCAGAATTTAGTGAACAAAAAGAACTGGAAAGCATATGGGAGCTCTTTGGGGATCCAGCCTCCCTCATCCTCCCTCAGCTCCGCTCGCACCCACCTTCCAGCCCCCACCCTCCAGCTCCCACCCTCCAGCCGCCCACTGCTAATATGCCCTCGATGCTTGGTGTGGTTTCCTGGATGCTGATGCAGTGCGATGCCGATATGCTTGTGGTGCGAAGACTCCGGGTTCTTTTGGCCTGCCGTAAGTAATTTTTGCCTGTGTGTTTTGGTGTGCCCTAGACAGTTCCCTTAAAGCCAGGCAAGTGTTTCCCGAAAGCGTCTGACATGATACATACAGGCATGTTCATGTTTTTTTGAGATTTTTGAGTGAGGGCCACGGAAGGGGAGTCGCAGTCTCCTCGGCCCCTGGCCTTGGGGATCTCAACGGGTTGGAGAGCTCTACTGTGACTAGAAAATGACTTGAACTCAATGCCGCGTAGCGATCGGGTAGCCAGAATGCAGGCATTAAGTTCGCCCCTAATGCCTATTGAGCAAAGGGACCGCAGCAGGTTGCCGTTGCCTTACTGACATATGCAGTAACGCCGTCAAGATTGCCGGGTCGGACATCAGAAGGTTCAGGGGCAACGGTGATCCTAGTGTGGATCACCTCCCAGTCATCGGCATTGCGATATTTGCATGCATGCTGCGCATTGCCACAGTTGCACGTGCGTGTGTGTGTGTGTGTGTGTGCGTGTGTGCGCGTGCCAGTTTTTGCACATCTGTCGTTTCTTTTGTACCAACGAAAATGAGACGAGAAGCTAACACATGCTCTCCCGACCTTGTGACGGTCCGGCCCAATAAGCCCAATCATGCCCAAAGGCACAACTGCAGTAGCCTTCCCTTCCGCGTAGCAACCTCCGAGAACCTATCACAAGGCTTGTGTTCAGCCAGTGCCGAGGCTCTTGACGCCGCTGTTCAGTGCCAGCCACTGTTGAAATTCGGATCTTCTATTGTTGGTGTCCGATCATCGCAAGGTGACCTATTGACACGCGACGTCGCTGTGGTCATAACTTCGAACCGACCTCCAAACGAGTGCTCCTCTCATATGTTGTATTACAGCTGAAATGTTCTCCGTAGGACATGTGCAACCAGGTTGTACAAGGGAGGAATCGGTCGAGATGCTCACCTACCTGCTTTTGAATCTTTGTTGCAATCGTCTTTGGAGGCAGGAACAGCCAATGACCTGCATGCTTCGCTTCACAGCTTTCGCAGGTCCGCCACCTGGATGCTGGCACAGACTACCGTCTCAGGGTGGGCCCCCCACTGCAGGGCAACTTTGGAGTTGATGGGTCCATATCTCGCCAGGCGGTCAGCGATATTTCGACAGACCAATCCGACTACATCTTGGGTGCAGGAGAATATGTACTATATCCTACCAACATGTTGAAGCAAGCATGCCAGTTGCATATCCAAGATTGTGCGTATGTGTCTGTATGTCAGTACGTATAGGCAGGGATGTAGGTAGGCAGGGAGGCAGGCACGCACACATGCATGCAGGCATGCATATATGTTTTTATATGTATGTGCATGAAGCGCTGCCTGTTTCGGAAAAGATGCGGGATTTTCACGACACCATGGTTCAGAAATATGGAACAGTTCTTTCAGAATTACGGCGCAGATTTCACAGAAATATGCCGCAGCTTCTTCAGAGAATGTTTAGGGTTTTTCGGGCTTAGGGTTTTCGGTCCTCTGCGCTTGGTACATGCCTTGCATCTCCAGGTTTGATATAGATATATGGGGTTTAGGGTTTAGGGTTTCGGGTCGATGCTTGCGAGTTTCGGAGTTTTATATGTCTGATCAGATCTGCACTTGTTTTCTGAAAATCCTGGTGTTATCTTTGGAAATTGCGCGCATTTTTTTTCATGAAAACAGTGTTTCATGCGTTGAAACGTGCTTTCTGAAATATCCCATCACCCCATATGTACGCATGCATGGATGGATAGATGGATGCACGGACGGACGGAGGGAGGGATGGATGGATGGATGGATGTACGTTTCTATGCCTTATGCGTTCGTACACGCGTGCGTAGATGCATAGGTACATGCATGCATACACACATATTGACATACCGCACACGCATGACCACCCAGAGAGTATACTGTTCTGTTTCATAACGAAGGTCTCGGCCCAAGGTCAGTGTGACATCTCCGTCCTTGTGCTTCACACCTTGCCGTACGGAATCTTTTTGCATTGCTTTTCACACACTTGAAGATGTCTGCTTTCTGCAAGTCCAAGTGATGGTGGTGCTGTGGATGTAGCTGTTCTACACGTAACTGGCGCCGGACAGCGACAAGCGACAAATATCAAACATTATACCGTTACACCAGAACTAGCTGTGTCCTGTTTCTGCAGGAGCCAATGAACGTTTGGAGTCTGCTTTTCGAGTTGCTTGTGAAGGGCAAGCAGTCCCTGCCTCGATGGATGTACAGTCAATTAACGTTGGACCCGAGTTTGCTTTGCGTGAGGTGGGCCCTGTGCTCTTGCAGATTGCCTGGGGACGCTCCATGCCATGCTCTTTGATCGCCCACAATTTGCTTTCCGCTTTGTTGGGGCACGTTACGTCCTGCTGATTGGGCATTAGAGCCCGGCTTCGCAAGGTTGTGCCAGCAAGTTGCCAATGGCGTCGCGAAGTTCACCTTCGAAGAACTCTGTGGTGCCATCGCACAGCAAAACAGCCGTCAAAAGGGTTTCCAGCTCTGCCAGGAAACCCTTTGAGCTCCGAGGACTATTTGGCACTGATCCGGAGTGCAGGCTGCAAATGTGACATGACATGCAGGCTTGCACTGAAGTTCTGGCATTTTGCAGGCATTCACACTTTCGTGGTCTCTGATGTTCCTCAGTTCGGTTTGAACCTGCACAACGAGGTGAGATGCTGTAGGAGAGCTAAACAGATGATTCTTGCAGCAGTCGGGCATGATTGACTAGGCATACTTAAGCGTGGACTTCAGGCACGTCGTTTCACAAACTTCGTGGATGCTCTTTACGAGCAGCAGCGCGGTTCTTGGACAATGCTTGCTGCAAAGCTTAAGTATTCATTGAAACAGTGGGCGTTGCAGGTGCCGTCTGATCTGTTCCGCTGACTCGTCCATCGATGATCTCTTGACAGGAATCAATGCCCCCAACTTGCAATGAGTTACTACTTGTGAAAGCAGCAGGAATCGATGGCTTATGCTCTGCAGAAGTGGAGTCAGATCAACCGGCCATGGGCATTGGAGGTCTCCTTGCCTCGCGTCACGGTTGAAGTCATTTGCATTCGTCAGTCGACGAGATGTGCTGCAGGTTCAGAAAACTCACTGCGATGGCATCGGCACGGAGACATTTCTTTTCATTCTTCCGAATTGTCTCCATGCAGGCCACGCATGCATTCGGAAGCTGTGAGTTTCAACTTGGCCCTGGCGTCACAGGCCCGACACCTTCGCAACGGCAGAGGCAAAGATTTCTTCTGCACACTAGTTTCTTTCGTGAGACGAAAGAGCGGCCTGAGCACAGGCAGACGCAGAGGCAGGTACATCGCTTCGTCGGCGGCCTCAGGGCCAAGTGCTGTTGGGTGGGCTCCGGGCACATGTCAGAGGAACTCAGTATTACGAGACCTGGTCGACACAGCCTGTATGCCCACAGATGGAGCGGGCTGAATTCTCCAAGAGCTTGAAGGGCATTGCACTGGCATGGGTGTTGCTGAGGGTGCAGGAGAACCGCCAATTTGCCAATCAATGCTTTGGGTGATTTTCTCGAACAGGTAGTGATTACGGTATATAGAAACCATGCACCCATCTTAAGCATAATTGGCCTGTCTTTGGTTTTCAAGGGTGTCTGTATGTGTGATAAAGCCATGTACATGGAGGAAGAAAGCTGCTCTGAATGCATGCACTCTTTCCAGTGTCATAGCTATAGACGACTTGGTCGTGTCCAGACTCGCAGATGCGCCGCACAGCCATGGAAGCTGGTGGCTGTCCAGGTGGTCGAACGTACGGTGCCAGTGGACATGAGCTGTAGGTCGTACACCGGACATTATGCTCACTGGTTCGAGTAGCACCTTCCTGAGTTCGAAAGTCACATGGCGGGGAATCAGCCCCCTGCAGCAACTTGTGGATTTGAAGCGTTTCGGCGCAGCCCTGCTCATCACTTCGGAATGCAGCCTGGTCGCAGGAAGTGTCGGGTTGCAAGATGTGCAGACGCTCAGTACTCTGCTCGTGACAGGTGACGGTGCGGCATGGCAAGCCGGCGGCCCATTCGAGGACGGTCCGAAGCTGCTCCTGCCGGGTGGCAAGTACATCAATCGAAGCCGCAGTCGGTATCGTGAGCAGTCGAAGATCGCGGTGGAGCTTGTGACCACGGCTTTGCTGGAGGCTGGTGTTCCCGAGGAGTGCATCGAGCATCTCGACTGCTGTGACGATCTTGATGCCAGCTTCGATCCAGTGGCGCTGATTCCACAGTTCTGGCGGCGGCACCTGAACCCTGTGACTCGGGTCAGGGATGCGTTGATCTATTATTTCGGCTTCTCGATTGAGGGCGGCGCATGGGCCCTTACATGGACCAATGTCAACCAGGAGTCGAAGGTCTGCATTCTCGAGCCCGATTCTGTTCTGCCTCCAGTGGGTGTTGAGGACGGCGTTCCAGGTGCAAGAAGGGCGCTTTTCTTGTGAAATTTTTGTCTCAAACATGTTGTTGATGCTGTCTCCAGGCAATCCGGTAAGAAGAATTCGCCTCTTGTGTTCGGGCTGCTGTAGGCGGCTGCAGAAACCTGTCACCTGGTCCCCCGAACTCTGAAGTCCAAGCCGTGCAGCACACGACAACAGCAAAAAGAAAAAACAAGGAGTTGAAAGAGAACAACTTAGCGACCTTTTTGGAAGTTCCAGGGAAGGTCCCCCTTGACAGCATCTTAGAGTGGCATGATGCGCGGGGTCTTTTCACTTCGGCTTCAGGCGATTTGTTGGGTTCGTGCCATGGTTGCAGGTGCTCGGCTAGTGGTCTCTGACGCACCGGGCTCAGCCAGAATGTGGTTGAGGCCAGCTCGCCGACTGCGGGGTGTTGCGGCCTGGGAGGGCGATGCGATGCCCGGGTCAAGTGGCGGGCCGCCTCTTGCACGTTGGTTGGCGGGTTACATGCCGGAAGCCCCAAGAGGCGTGGAAGCCTTTTTGCAGCCTTGCCCAGAAGCTGGGCTGGAGGACTTGCCATGTCACAAGCTGCTCTTTTGGGGCCCGTCACCTCCGGAAAGTGTTGAGTTGGCCAGTCACCTGCTCTGGGAGCTCACGGAGTTCGTAGGTGCCGAGACGATGCGATCTCACAGGCCAGCCGCCATAGAAGAAATTCTGGTCAAGGGAGGCCCAGAAATGCTTCTCAAGACGTTGACCATAGTGACCTCTCGTGAGCAAGGGCAGGAACGACTCGCGTTGCAAGCCTTGTGGCTCCTCCAAGCTCTGGCGGCTGAGTCTCCTGCTCAACGCTGGGCTGGCACGATGAACGAGGCTTTCCAAGAAGTCATGAAGCTGACGGAGAGGCTTCTTGGTGGCTTCTCCAACCCTGATCACCCCCACTTACTGGCGGCGATACTTTCTTTCTTCGCCAGTTGTGCATCGCGTTGCGCGAACTGTAGGGATGAGTGCTCAGCGGGCACGAAGAACTGGGCCTCCTTGCTTCAGCTGGTCAACTCTGCATTTGAGAGCCTCGAGCTGACACAAGGAGGTGCGGGCGGTGCGGGGCGTGAGGCCCAGGCTGATGCGCAATCCGCTGCAGAGGCTGCCTGTCACATGGTTTCACAAGTCGCATCGCACCGGGCTCTTGGAGCCGAGCATCAGCTCTTTGTTAGGCTGCTGGAGATGTTTTCTTCGGGAGCTTCCGGAGCCGCCCGAGCCGGGGAGCCTGTGATGGAAGCCGCAGCCGAAGCTCTCCTCTACATCACCTTCCGGTGCAACGATCTGAAGCTCGAAATTTTGAAGATCATCAGACAGTTTCAGCTCGAGCAAGCTGTGTGTGACACTCTCCTGCACAGTTCTCGGATTGGATTGAAGCAGAAGCTTTTGGCCTTCCTCCGCAGCATTGCCTCTGTGCAGCCTCCATCGGTCGTCTTGGATGCATTTCCTAGTGGATGCATCGAGGGTGGGATTATCGACGTGATCATCAGCACCCTGAGACGGCACGAGGACCCAAGCATGCAGCGCTGGGGCTTGGCTGCTTTGGGCGCCATCTGCAACGTGGACGAGCGCTTCGCCGCGAGAGGCGTCCAGGGAGGAGCAGCGACGGCCGTGCTTTGGGCCTTGGGAGCAGACCAGGCGAAAAGCGCTGTTCTGTTGCTGTCCAAAATCTCCGTTCTGCTCTGTTCCAAAATGCTCCTCCTCTCTCTTCTTCTCTCTTTCTTTTTCCGAGGCGACGTCGCTGGAGCAGGACGCCTTGTTCTGCGCCTTCGCTCTGCTTCAGAGCGACTCCGGCTCCGGCGGCAGTGGCGGCGGCGGCCAGGACTTGACGGATCTGCTCTCTCCTGAGAAGCTCGGGCGATTGCCGGCCCTTACAGCATCGGCTGTGGCTCGTGGGCTTCGAGAGGAGGGAGGCTCCTCCGAAGCAGCCCTATGGGGACTTCGAATCTTTGAGCGGATCTGTCAGAAACACGCATTGGTGGTCGAGCCTTTCGTGGATGCCATTCTCGAGGCCATGTTAGCGACCAGCTGTCTGCACGGAACCATGGTAGCAGGAAGCAATGCCGTGAGCCACTTGGCCTCCGTTTGTCCCGGTGCTCGTGCAAAGCTGATGAGAAGCTATGTTGACCTCATAAAGGCTCTGCAGTCCATGGGCCACATCGCCGCCTGCGAAGGGACCGAGGACGGACGACAGCGTGAGCGGGAGCTCATGGACTGGGTGCAGGTCTTGGTGGACATCTTGGGTCCACCGAGGCCGGTGAAGTCCGACGACCAAGTCCTCTGCGAACAGCTGCAAAAAGAGGAGGAGGAGGAGGCTGCCTCCAAGCTTACCTCCAAGCCCGGCTCCAAAGCTGGCACCAAGTCAAATCAGGGCACGAAGTCCAATGCCGGCACCAAGCTGGAGACTGCCAGTCTTAGCCGGACTGGAACCAAGCTGGGAACCAAGGAGGAGTCTGGAAAGACACGGAGCAAGTCGAGGTTGCAATAGTCTTAGATCCCGAAGCAGTTTCACCCATCACGCCTCGCAAAATGTGAGGGCGCTAGATAACGCCTGGTGCTTGAGGCGCCGTGACATAGAAAAAAACAGGTGTGGCCGGCGGTGGGGATGCAAAGTGACCGGCATTGGAATCGTGTGGATGCGCCGGCCCAGGCTTGTCGGGCTACGAGCAGGTGGCCGGGCCGGGCGGGTGTCTCTCCTCTCTGCTTCTCCTTCTTGCACCGGAGAAGCGGCGGCATAACATCCATATAGTGCCTCAGCCTAGCTCGACAGCGCGTGACGGGAGGGATCGGAACCTGGCCTGATGGCGGAGTGCATGCCAGGATAGTGTCGCTGGTGTCATGGCTGCTGCAGTTGACAGCCTTCGCACGGACCCCAGTGGCACAAGGGGTTGTGCGACGTGCTGCCGGTGCTGTCTGTTGCTTTCGTCGCTTCCGACAGTCCCCATGACAGACCCACGACTGAGACTGAGCTTCTTGATGATTGACCGCAAGGTGAAACTGGTTTCGCAGCCCGCAGGTGCACTTCACGGCTTCACGTGCTGACCTGAGTTGCCCTTCTGCATACCATTACTCCATGCACCATTTCCTTGTCAGCCAGGAGATGAGTAGCACTGCCTATCGCCAGGGCCATGCACTACGCTGGGAAGTCTCACGCAAACCTGCATCAGTGAGTGCAATAAATTCGGAGTGTCTTGCCTGCCCTCGCCTGCCTGCAGCAAATTGCACGAGTGGGAGAGACAAACGGTAGTTGCGAAGCAATGTGGTGCCGGGTGCAGGCACCGATGAAAATGCCCGGCAGAACGACATTTACCGTTACGATGTGCGTCACAAGTGCTCCTGGCCTGATTGTTGTGCTTAGCCGCTAGCCTGTCAGCCCCCCCCCCCCGGCATGCAGGACATGGGCTTGCATCGACCCTGTGACCGGCAGTCCGCCTTCGGCACGATCTGGATCCAAGGTCAAGGGTATGGAAACCACGTTGCTCGCATAGCGGCTTTAACTATACGTTCAGGCTGTGGTGTGCCGAGATAGCATTTTCTTCTTCGGTGGCTACACCAAGAAGGAGAATACCGTTCGATTTCAAGTCCTACCCGAATCGGAACTCATGGCCAGGGTCAGGCACTGTGGGTAAGCAAAAAGCAAGGCGCAGCACGGCCGCGGCCCGAATCAGCAAGCGAGAGAGAAGAGATAAGAGTTTTGAAACCACCGCCGGCAGCGAAGCAACAGAGCACTCAAACGAATCGGAGGTGCCTGTTCTACGAGAGTGTGATACCTGCACGCAGCCATGGCTTTGCCAACCAGGCAACCCACGACTGCATGCCACTTCCCCGTCACACAGAGAGGTCACGGCTTGAAGCGCGACACGTTGGTTTGGAGCGAGCAGCGCGAACCGATGACATCGTAGCCGCATCCGATGCGCCAGTCCTACTCCAGGGTGGGCAGGATCAATTTTGCAATCGCCACAGGCTGCAATAAACATGAAGAGCTGCTCGACTGCAACACCTGCAACACACAGGGACAAAATGGCTCCATGATGTTCCACGAGTGTTCGTAGCTGGCCCTGCTACTCCAGCACAAGCAAGCCTCAGGCATCAACCCTGACTAGGGCAATGAGGCAGGCTTGGCCTGGGTCAGGTGAAGTCAGCCTGTCCCTATGTCTCAACCGAATACGACCTGAACGCACTGGTCCTACACTACCTAACTACCTAGCGGACCTAGCCGAATCTAACCGCGCTTAACCTCAACCCAAACCTGAGCCTAAACCTAGCATTCACTGGTTTCAAGCTGAGTCAACTATGTTAACTTGAATTGAGACAGCCGCAACTGATCTTAGATAACCTAACCTTTACTACGTTCAGTGAAGCGAAACTGGCTCTTCTCTTGATCGGCGCTGCATGCTCGTTCATTCGTGCTGTCTTTCTTGCTGGTTTTGTGCTCTTCTTGTTCTCGCTCAACTGGTTTATGCCTTCAGTCGGTCAGTTGCTTGTTTCTACATAGCACAGTCGAGAACCGGCAGGACGGAGACTACTTCAACGACCTCTTCGAGTTCAACATTCCCAAAGCTCACTGGACACGCACGTGTCTCAGTCGTCATTGAGATGTCAACTTGTTGCTTTTGATGCACCTTACCAGGCCTTGACGCAGCTCAAAAGCCATCAGTGCGAACAGATCATTCCTGCGTGGTGTTCGAGGTTGGCTGCCAGTTTCACTGGAGAGGTCTGTTCCGTGGTGCACGGTGTCGGCTTGCCTGACCCTGGTCAGGCAAGTCTGTACATTTTCGGTGGCTTTGACGGACGTACTCGTTTTCAGGCAGGAGCGTCTTGACTCGCTGCGATGTGCTTGTGCTGCCATCTGCCTCCCTGACTCTAGTGTCCAGGATCTGCATCTCTTTAACACGGAAGAAAGGGAATGGATGCAGGTGCGAAGTCTCGACCGCCACAGCATAGCTGTTGAGACGACGAAGATGCATGTCTGAAAGGTAACAGACACCGACAATGTACCGGTTGGGCGCTTCGGACACTCAGCCGTCGTGTACCAGTCTGGCATGTTGGGAGCCAAGAGTTTGCTCGTGGAAATTCGTCGTTGCTGGCCAGTTCCTGCTTCGCAGGTTTGTGTTCGGCGGGTGGGATGGCCATGACACACTGGATGATCTCTACGAGTTTTCCATCACAACGAACCAATGGTGCGCATCGCGCAGCCTTGAAAAAATCTTCGGGAGACTTCGACACCTTCTCTTGCTTGACAAGGTACGCCGTTCCTGGCCGGGGCGACGTTCCTCCGTCCCCGGCCTCCGGTTGGTTGGAAGGTTGAGACATGTTGAGACAGCAAATATGAGAGAGTTGGTTCTTCCAAGGTCTCGCTATCGTCACAGCGCGGTGGTCCACGGCTGCTGCATGTTCGTTTTCGGGGGCGTGGACAAACGCCAGGTGCCGCGGGGGCGGGGTGGGCTGAATTCGGCCCCTGCGCTCGCGCCGCACTTGTCAGCTGTGGCAGCTCTGACAGGCACGCTTCGCCGACTTATGCGAGTTCAGCTTTGACACTCGGCCAGAGCCCGACCAGCGAAGAGATTGAAACTTCCCTGGAATGCCAAACGTCGAATGAGCGTGGAAGTTGCATGAAGCATAGGTCATGGTCTCGGGTGAAGACTGTCGAAGCCTTGGGTCTGAGTGTCGGTGCTTGGACGAGACGGGGGAGATGTTAGTGACCTTGCCCTCAGTCTGGTGATCCACCATCTGCGAGAACCTTCCATCGCGCCTGCATGACCCAACCTCATTTTTTTCCCGGTTGCAGTCTCCCGCCTTCAGTTTTAAGCACCCGCTGATACGTGTCTGATCTGAGGTATGGAGGCTGCATGTACATCCTCGGCGGGGCCTCGGCCTCGGTTCAAAGGCTGCGAGAGGAGCCTGGCTCGGACCTCGGTGCAGCAAAAGCCCTTACCTCCTAAGTTCGATGGCACGCGACGGAACGACATGTACAAGATTGTCTTGGGCCCAGTTCTTCATTTTGCAGCTGTATCCGGCCGTGTGTGTGTGTGTGCGTGGATTAGCATGCCTGTTTGTCCTTGGCAACTTCAGGCCCTGCCCGAACAGCTGCCGCGTGATGAGAAACGCAGGTCGAGGGACGTGATGCTTTTCTTTGCAACCCCTGCTCGATGTGCAAAGTGTCCCTGCCTTAGGCGGCGCTTGCAGGGAACTGGTGAAGGTGATGCAGAGGCTGTAAACTCCATGTTGGCACTCGCGGAGTTGCCTGTGGTTTTCCAAAGGCCGCCGCGGAGCCGGAAATTGGAGAGGTGGAAGGACCGGAACCGCAAAGACGCAAGACAGGCCCCGCACGAGACGGCTGATGGTGGGTTTTGAGCAGGTCCCCAGCCAGAGAACATCAAGGAAGTCACCAGGCTCCGGCTGCAGGCTCTGGGAGAAAGCGTTCGAAGATGAATGCGCCTGTTATCCTTTTTCTGGTGCAGGTTCTGGAACTTCAGAAGCGCCTCGAAGCCGAGCAAGAACGCCGGATTCCAAGTTTACTGTGTTCTTGAGAGTGCCGCCCCAGAATATGCTTGTGGACATGTTGTTTGCGGTGTTCCCAGGCCATCTTTGCAAAATTTGTTACGAGCGCGAGATCAACACGGCCAGAAAGTCAGAAAGGAACGAGCCATGGAAGAGTGGCATCCCTCGCCGACTCGCTGACGGCACCCAGGTCATCCTAGATTGTCAGCACCGTGCTGTGTGTTCGAGATGCCTCGACCAGGCGCACCAGCTTGTAGAGCATTGGGGATACATGCCCAAAAGAAGCCAGCGAGAGAAGCGGCTGTTTAATCCAGAAGAGCAGCAAAGCATGACAGTCACTCATATGGGTGGTTATCAAAATTAGGGTCCCTTTTTGGGTCCTTATTATAATACGGCACCTAATATTTAAGGTACCCAAAAAGGGACCATAATTTTGACCACCACCCATATTATGAGTGAGGATCAGTTCCCGACAGACATTGTGCAAGTGGCAACGACATTCTATGTGTAACTGTGTGTGTGTGTGCGTGTGTCAAGGAGCTTGCAACTGCTCAATTGACTTGAACTTTTCGTTTGCTCACCACTTCATACGCTTCACGACAGTGCTGTTGAGGTGAATAGCTGCCCTTTGTGTCGGGCGTCCATCAGTTCGACTGTCATCACGTGAGCCCAGGTTACATTATGTGTAAGAGTGGATGCAGCGCCCTTGAAGAGTGACCAGGTACAATGCCTAGGCAGGGCTGACTGCAGTCTCTTCTCATCGCAGCTCTCGCTTCAACCGCCGGACGTGAGTCGTGAGTGCCACCAGGCTTGTCCTGAGCCAGCTGGCCTCTGTTTCAGTCATAGTGTAGCTGTCAATTGCAACAAGCTGCGCTTCGTCCTTGACACGATGTTCTTAAGTCTCGCAGCCCGCCGAGATTGTAGACTCCAACGTGCTATTGCAGCTTAGTTTTGCAGCTGCACGTGCCATGTGAGACGAAGAGCCAGGTCTTGTGGCTTTGAATTGTCGCTTTTTGCGGTCACGACAGTGACTCCAGAGCTTGTAGTTCTGTTTCTTCGCGAACTGGCCAGCAGCTTTTCACACTAGGTTTCTAGGCGCGGGGCTCAGTGTGCAGCGTCTCGCTGTCGTGATGGAGATCATATGCAAGACAACTTGCAGTGAGATTTTGCACTCTTCAGCTGAGGTAGCAGCTTTTGGCTGCCAGTGGACGAGCCCAGGCCCAGCGCTGGGGCGTCTGTTTGATGACGGCCTCCGCTTCCGCGTGTCTGGGTGGAAGAGACCACGCCAGACACCACGAGACGGCGGTCCAAAATCGGCCTGCGGAGCACGCACAGCGTCACAGCCTGCAACACGCACACTACACAGAGGCACAGACACAACGTCTTCGGCCAAGGGCTCCGCAAGCTGGTGCAGTTTGGTGCAAGTCAGGTGAGTCAAGGTATGCGGTTTCGTTATGGGTCCGACGTGTTGTTTCTGCAGTCGAGGTCATCATCAAGCCGTCTTTTACATAGTCACCTATTCAAAGCTTGGACCATGCGAAACTCGAGCTCTCAATCTCCAGGTCGTGTTGCCCATCCATGTTTATGCTTTTTGAGAAGTGCGAGACTCTGATGACGAGATGGGCTTCCAGCATTCGCAAGGTTTCACTGTCAGGCTCAGGTTGTAGAAGCCCTGGCACGGCTAGGTCATGGTTCCCCATCCCGCGGCACTTGTTGTCATTTGTTCGAAGCACACTGCGACTGAAGGCCATGCCAGGGTTCTTCCTCGCATCAGTTGCAGGTTGTCAGGTGGGGCAGGGATGCCGCAACGAGCTGATACAACTCTCCTAGGTGAGAGGTAAGGCTACAAGGCCATGTGAGGCTCTGGCAAGCGATCCCTGCCCAACGCGCAGAGGTGGCAAGGTGTCAGAACACAGACTGCAGCTTCGATTCAATCCTGAATTGCTTCTCATAGTCGAAGTACTAAATGCCTGGAGTAGCAAATGGAAGCTGCAAGCAGTCCGCAGCTGTCAGGCAGGTTTCCAGTTTCAGTGCGCAGTGCAAGGTACAAGTAGGTGTCAGTCCAGGTCTGCAAGCTGAGTGATCTCCAGCTGTAACCCCATGTCCACGTTCCAGCGCAGACCTGAAATCAGTGCTTCAGGTCCATGTCAAGGTGGCCAATCTCAGATGCATCCAGACAGCTTTCCACGGTTTGAGCCACGCAGTCCTCAGTAGAAAACCTGGCAAAGCAAGGCCGTCCCAACACTGTCTGGATGATGTGTGCATTCCAAGGAAACTGCAGAGAAAGCGCAAATAGATTGCGAAACAGACAGTTTGCCTCGTTGCAGTTTCCTTCGACAGGCAGGTTAGATTCCAGGTCAGGTGTATCCAAGCTCGCAACAGCAAGCTGGGCAAGAGAGCATAAGTTATACATAGTGCATTCCAGCGACTCCGTAAATTCTGAGTTCGGACTTGACGACAGAAGCTTCTTGGACTGCAGATCTTATTGCCCATCTTCTGAAGCATCAATCGGGTGTCTCAGGTGGCTCTGGCACACTTGTGCAGGCCTCCATTTCCAGTCAGGTGCAGTGTGACGCGGTTCTGAAAATCTCGTAACCGGGTCCGTGGCGTTGCGCGAGCAACGATCAGACTTGTGTCAGACTGCAGGCCATGCAAGGTTTCGCCCAGGGGAGGCCGAGTCAGATCGCCCGCAAAGAGGATTAGATCGAGCAGAGCAGCATAGCGATCGAAGATTGTTTGGGCTCGGGCTCGCCTCGGCCCTCTTTAACTAATTCATGTCTGGTATTCAGTACCGAGGTGGCAGGTTTTGTCCAAGCTTGACCGAGCATTATACTTTCGGTGAGGCCCTCCATTTGGCAGGTTTTCAAGGTTTTCAAGTTTCCAGCCGTGACGTGACGGCTTGCATCACGCCTCTGTCCTCAATCGGGTAGGTGCCAATTCTAGAATTAACAGAGAGGCTTTGGCAAGATGATGCAAGCCGACGTGGCGCAGAGTTCCCAGCTTTCAGGTTCAAGCGTATTGGGAAGTCTTTTCAGCCTTTCAGACGGTGCTGTCGGCCACTTGGCAGAGAAGCTTAGAGTTCCGTAGATCTGAGACTCGAAGTTCTGTAGGTCCCTTGCAATGCAGGAATCGTCCTCTAAGTTTCTGCAAGCCGCTTTGAGTACCCTTCTGACCATCGCCTGTCTGGGAACTGCGAAGTTGCCCGCTTCGAGAAAAGGCGATATGCATGCATGTCGATGCCAAATCACTGAAATGCAAACAAAACACTGACAGTTCTGAGCTCTCGAGTGGCATTTGGACCCAAGCGTTGCCACATGCAAATGCAACCTGATTGTCATGGCATTTATTTGTTTCTGGTATGCATCTTTCCATCCAAGACATTCGGGGAAACTGCGGAGCGAGGTTGGGACATCTGTGGTAGTAGCGCCGATGGATGAGTTTCATGATAGGTACGAAAACATCGCAGAACCGAATTGTAGCATGATACTGGTAGGCGGACTCCATGCATGAGCGAGGTCAGTGCATGGCATTGTCGATGCTGCGCTTCATCACCGTGTCCCTAGCTCGCTAAGGTGGCATAGCATGAAGGCTCCCCTGACAGCTCGAGGAGGCCAGGTGGAACGCAGGCGCGGATTCCTCGACATGTGGCAGCTTGTCTCTGTGGGAAAGGTCTGCAGAGCTCCCCTCGGGAACGTCCTTGGAACGAGTCGGACTTGGAGGTCGGTCGCGCAAGTCGGTGCGCTGGCTCTGGCTCTGCAAGTGACGTCCCTGCAGGGCCACAAGGTTCACGGCCGCAAGCCCTTTGGGAAGGCACAGAGCGCTTCACCGCGCCCGCAGCGCCGGGAACTCAGATAGTCGCGTGTTCTTTTTCTGCTCTGAAGCCGATCTTGTTGTGTTTTGATGCAGGGTTTCGAGCCGTCGACGCGGTCAAGCTTGCAAAGCATGAGCTTGAATCACAGAACGGGTCTGACGCTCAGGGCCACACCTGCGTGTTTAGGAGGGCTCGCTTGGGCCGTCTCGCCCGACTGATCCAAATCGATCAGCAATTTTTGAGACGACTGCGGGCTCACAAAAGATAATCCATGCCAACCAAAACCAGACCGAAGCCGAAGCAACGTCTTCGATGAAGAGCTCAAAGAACCTACTTGGGGAAGAGGCCTCTGCCCATGCAGGTGCATGACATTCGGCCGAATCAGAATATGTGCGCCTCGCCAAAGCCAGCCCGCACAGCAAAAGGCATCCGGAAAAGCAATGTGTCCACGAAAAGCCGTGAAGCAACATCGTGGGCAAGCAGCAGCAAGAACACAAATCCTGATGCCCGATCTCGAGCTTGTGGAGCTGAACTTCAAAGCCACCAGACCAAGCCGAGCGAACGGGAACTCGGCCATGTTGAGGGAGGGGGCGAAGGGGAGACAGAGGCGAGGCAAGTGGCATGCGGGGATATGTGGGCGCATGATGTGTTATTGGCCAGATGCTTCAGAAGCCTACTTAGAAGCCTGAGATGCGACTACCTAGCGAACAGCTTCATCCTTGGCATTGGATACAACATTGGCTTTGCTATGCTTGCCCTTTGAGGCCTTTGGTCAAGGCGGGCAGACTTCGGCTTTCCCAGTTTTCGGCCCTGGACGAGTGTGCTTCTCAGCCATTTCATGAAAGAGCAAATGGCAGAGATGCGCAGAGCTATGCGGAGCTCAGCATGCCAGGGATTGCCTCAAGCTTAAGAATGCCCTCAGTAGGATGCCATGTCGTTTGCTTGGTCCCCGCGGTCGCTGCGGCCGCGGAGGCGAGAATTTCTTTCAAAGGGATTCGTTGATTGGCTATTGGCATCTATTGGCTATTGGTGTTATCTGTAATTTGACCATGGAGGTGTTGCAGGTGCTGTCCTTGGCGGCCTGTGGCTCGGGGCTTCGAGCGCGTGGCTGCTACGGTCTATGGATACCTGGATGATGACGATGACTCGGACTTCAGTGAGGATCCAGTAAGCCGCAGTTCGCAACAGAGGACGTCCGAAGAGAAGAAGGAGGAATCGCGAAGCAGGACCGAAACCATGGACGAGATGTTCGAGCAGTTTTTCGATGCGATTGATGACCTTTCGGACTCCGAGCTTGGGAACAGCTGCGGCACAGGTTTGGGGCTCGTGATTCCGAAGCTAAGAAATGACAGTGAGATTGCTGCTCATTACAATGTGCCTCTGCAAGCGATCAATCAGCTCAAGGCCTGCGTGAAATCGGTTCAAAGAATCTGATTGGTAGGTTGGAAAGGGTGTGGTTGAAGATGCTCTTGTTCAGGCCGACTTCCCAGAGTGTCCGTCCGCAGAACTGGCTCGCTTCCTTGCGCGGAAGAGTGTTTCTGGAAATCCCGAGAAGGCCGCGAAGCTCATCAGTGCCTACCTTGAGTGGCGACGGGGCATCCCCAAGTGGCCAGCGCCGCCAAACGACTTACCCAACCCGTTCCGATTCAACGGCTTTGCCCGGGACGGCTCGCGCCTGCTTCTGCTGCTGCCCTGTTGCATCAATGTGGACTTCAAACCGGATGCCTACTGCCAGCAACTGGTTCGGCACCTGGACACGGAGGCTGCGTGACGGGAGCTGGGGAGGTGGGAAACCGGGCAGAAAACGGAAGCTTCTCTTCCGAACTGTTCAGGTCGAGCGCGCGGACACGTTGCGCTTCACGGTGCTCCTGGACTGCCGGCCGCACAAAGCGCTGGGTTACGATGCGAAGCCGGTCTGGCGAC